TAGAGAGAGAGAGAGAGAGAGAGAGAGAGAGAGAGAGAGAGAGAGAGAGAGAGAGAGAGAGGAGAGAGAGATTGTCAGAGAACCATCAGTTTTTCCTCTTCCCATCATACCTTTTCTTAATTTCGTGGGATAGAATGCCATTGTTTATTATCCAGAAGAAACAACTTTTTCCAAGATAATTTTATCATTACAGCTTTGCTTCATCTCTGCTCCCTCAATACTCCTTTAGAATTGGTTTCACAGTAACATATGGTGTGTCACAGAATTTCTCTGCTCAGTGACAGCTGTCCCCAATTCTTATTAGTCATCATTTGGTTTTATCTTTTTGTGTCTTCATCTTTTATTTTTTGTGTGGTCCTTCACCTATCTCTTTACCTCCTCATTGCCACTTTTCTATTGTTTCCATTTGTGGCTCTTGAGTCTGAAAGTTAGGAGAAGATCTGTGTATAAGACTGGGACTTTTGCATGGCAGCAGAGAAAGTTGACTTTCTTGGACTTTGGCTCCCCTACCTAAGAAATGGTAGCAAAGACACCTGTCTCAACATGGTACTGGAATTTCAGTAAAGTGGAATGACATTAGAAAGCTACCTGGCAGGATCAAAGACATCTCTTCTTCTGGACTCAGTGTCTCAAGGTTATAGTTGCCCCTTTCTTCGAGATAGAAAAAGATATTAATATGCCAACAAGGAGAGCACTGTATAAGCTGTGTGTGTGTGTGTGTGTGTGTGTTGTACATGATGTTTAGAATGGCTCATTGAAAAGGTTACTTTCTAGAAAGATTTGGCCCACTATTTTTGCACTGAGTGACTTGTAGGGAGGGTTGGACAGGCTTTCTGTGAAGACAACACATGGAAAAGTTAAGCTCTTGGCTAGTCACTATGGTGATAGTTGTAAACTGGATCAGATGCAGGTGAATGGAGCCAAAGGGATCTGAGGTGACTCTTCCAAGAGAATCCTATCCTTTCCACTACCTGTGTTGATAGCCATATCAATTGGGAAAAAAAAGAAGCAGTACCTACCGAGAGCATGGCACCCATAGGTATTTGGAAATGTAGCTGAGCCATTACTTTACCTTGTGCTTCCCCTTAGGGTCAGAGTGTGCCACCTCGTGCCTGGACCACAACAGCGAGTCCATTATCCTGCCAGTTAACTTGACAGTTCGTGACATTCCGCATTGGATGAACCCCACACGAGTACAGGTGAGTGACTAAGGTCATATAGCTATGGCTAACAGGAAAAAAATTGCCATGTTGAGCTCCTGGTATGTCTTTGCTCTACCTAAGTTCATCTTTCTGTGTATAGGATCTCATTAACCACATTTGTTTTCTGAGGGATATTTCCACAATTTTTCATCTATAATTGTTTAATACACCTCATCAGCTTTTTACCTAAAAGCCTTGCATCTACTTTCCCACCAGGTGCCTGGTATACTAGTGAATAAATTAAGACAAGTGCGCATAGGCAAGGGACATAGAACTGGATCCTGCTCTACAGTCTCCCTGGGTAGTCTGTACTCATAAGGATAGGACTGCTTGGTGTCTCTAGCACTTCAGTGTAATTGTACTTTACATTGCCTCAATCTCTTACATCTTTCTCCAATACTTTCCTTACTTGGTGAAATGCAATCATCATGGGATATTCAGGATAGGTCCTTCCTAGTATTAGTAGAGTTCATGTTGTATTCAGGTACCTGAAGTTCTGCATACAGGATGACTTAAACCTCAGCCAGTCCTCTGTATTCACAGAATCTGCTATCTTAGGTATCCCAGAAAGAGTGATCAGACATGATGTTTACTCTTAGTACTGACCTTTCTATGGCACCAGGATGTCTGGCTCCTGGAAAGATGATGATTGATGTTCCAGAATGCTACCAAGCTGACCTTGAGGAAAACCATTGGGTCCTAGTTCCTCTTGTGTTACCTGACCAGTAAAGGGCTCCAGAGATGACTTGAGACCTACTCATATCTTCTGAGACAGCATAGTTCTGAGGTTTCCATGAATCCCTTTGGAAATTAGTCCTCACCTTGGAGAAGCAAGATGGGGCAACAGGCACAGAGGGTGGGCAGAGAAGTCTTACCTGTATCCCTAGCCACCTGCTTTTCTGCCTGGGATCCGGGAGCTGCTTTCTGCCTGCCTACTAGAGATGGAGATCTGGATAGCTTGGTATAACCTGATACAGGGTATACTGTTTCTCTAATGAGCTGAGAGAAGACTTTCTTCAAGGGCTTAGTCAGCATTCTAGTGTAGGGACTTGGCCAGACCCCTCAGCTATCTGACTAAACCAATTTCCAAATTTTTTTCTTCCCCTGCTTCTTTCTCTGCTTGCTTTTTCCTGCCTCTCCTTTTGCTTTTTGCACTTTGCATTACTTTTATTCTTCTTCTACTTTGAAACACTGTTTGAAGTTCTATCATTCTCCAACTCTTATCAGATTCAGTCTTCCCTTCTATACTACCATCATCCCCAATCTGCCTTCCTCTCTGTATCTATACAGTATACCCTTATTGTTTAACAGGCTCCTACACCTCAGGGTACCTTTCCTCATTCTTAACCAGATCAATAAGGGGATTGATTCAGTCTGATGCCCCAGTGTGCTTGATATGGCTGAATACATGCAGCAATAACCACAGATCCTGTTTATATGTAAGACACCCCAGAAAACTGGAAGTCTCTCAGTCCAAGCCCCCGATTCTATACTAGAGAACCTGAAGATAATAGTCTGAGGGGCAGGTCAAGGTCACATGGATCTGCATCCTGACCTACTGATCAGGACCCCAGACTGGTAGAATCTCCCACTGTTTTGCCCCACACTTCTTCCCACATGTTCCTAAACGGAGGAGTGCCTCACACTAGAGAATTCCCTGACAAACTCAGAATCGAGGCTTGGCCCAGCTCCTATGTAAGTCCTTTCTTATCCACTAAGTGGATTCTGACCTTTTCCTCTATGAACTTTGGGTACTAAAACATTCAGTAGTAATTCATAGTGAGATAAATTCAGGGATTTGAAAGACTGCAAGCTGCCCCCCTCCTTGAGTTGCCCACCCACTGCCTGTCACAGCCTCCACTCCCCCTTCCCTGGTTTGCTTGCCTTTATTGATGCTGGACTACCAAGAGAGCAGTAACGAGGTTCAGACCTCCACCAGTCTCTGGAGGCCTCATTATACAAGAGAAAAAAATGTAGGAAAAGTGAAGAGGTGACGGGCATAGATTGATGACTTCCAGGAATAAGGCAGCAATGCTGGCCTCTGCTGCACCCTTGCTCCCTGAGCAGTGAGAGTTACAGAAAGGAGGCTAGTGCAGGCATCTCCAGGCCCAGGGAGGTTTTGGATGGCTCCTAGGTCTTCTAAGAGGTGTCTCCATGAACCACTGTGAGGAGGATGGTGGGGAATGTGGCTCTGTCCCCACTTAGCCACCTTTGTTCTAGGGTAAGAGTGTTAGACCAGAACTGACATTTAATAGATACCTGCTGTGAGCAGTCATTTCCCATCCATCTCTGCCATGTACCCAGTCTCCCACCCACCCACCCACCTACCCCTACACACACATACACACACACACACACACACACACAAACCACACCACACACTCATACATACATACACACACACACACGTACATATGCATCTCTATGTAGTAGCTGGAATTGGGCTCCCATTGTTTCAGTGGAGGAAATGGAATCTCAGAGAAGGACCCACCACCACGAAGTTACTGTAGCCACCCCTCTAGCTCCTGAGGGATGTAGAATAACAACAAAGGCAAGGCATTTATTGATTACTTGCAAGGGATGTTCTGGAAAATGCTTAATAAGATGGGCTGTATACATGCATATACATATACACATGCAAATATATGAGCTCTGATTTGTGGCATTTCCCATATCTCTGGTGTAAATACTTCCACTATGTAGGATGTCAAGGCTTCTCTGTGTTTATCACTGAACACAAGCAGTTGTCACCTCTGAATCCCATGCAGCCCACAGCTACAGTAATAGTAAATAGCTCCATATTTTTGCTTCTGTTAGCAATCTCATCAAAGACATGAGAAAAAATAATTAACACAATGTGGCACATTCATGTTGCATGTTCTGGAGCAAGTCTTGTTGTTTTTCTAGGCTACAGTTCCCTATTATTGAAATAAGAGGCACAGGTCAGATATTCAAAGCTCAAACACACATAGATCCAGGCAGGTGGGGTGGATGGGGAAGCTAGCTGAACATATTGCTTTGTATGTTATTTTATACACAGAAACATATTAGTTTTGGCAACTAGACTGTTTACTGGAAACATTTCAGAAACTCAGAAAAAATTGACAAAACTACAACAAACACTCCTGTATATACAACCCGACTTAAAACAAAAATTTATTGGTGTAAAGAAAGTGTTCTTGATATGAAATTTATACATTACTATTAAGCATGGGTGTTGGTAAGTTCTTATGCTTGTGTGTGCCTCTGTAACCAGTATCACATCAGAATGTAAAACTTTCCATATAGTCAGGAGACAATCCAGACCTTTACCAAGTGATGCCTCTATCACCGAAGCAACCAGTGTTTATGTATTTATCACTACAGGTTAATGGTACTTATTTTTGAACTTCATATAATTGGATTCATATAGTATATGTCTTATGAGTTTCATTAATGAGCACATTTAACTGCTATGACAAAAGAGGTTTTTTTTGCATTAAGTTGGTTATTCCCTTTTCAACCCTTAATGTACGTATACCATAAAATCTTTAGAGACACAAGTGCAGTAGACTTTTCTCCTAATTGAAAAAGTGAGGTAATACAAACCCAAGAACAGATGGGAATGCCTCTAGCTTGGTACTGGATATGCTGAAGGAAATGCTAGTAATTATAGGAAAGCATCATTGCTGTCATCATGTATATGATGTGTGTGTGTGTGTCATGTTCCTCCATGTGCTTGTGAAAGTCAGAAAACAAGTTTGTGGAGTCAGATCCACCTTATTATGGGTTCTGAGGATTGATCTCACATTGTCAGTTTCTCACAGCAAACATTTTACCCATTAACCCTCTCACCAGCGTTCCCACTCCCAACCCAGATATTGTGTTTAAAAAAGCTATTTCCAGATTGAGGTTGGTTCTCACCAAATACAGCAATGTAAAAATGTGACTTCATGTGGCCACATTTTCCAATCTTAATCTCTCTCTCTCTCTCTCTCTCTCTCTCTCTCTCTCTCTCTCTCTCTCTGTGTGTGTGTGTGTGTAATAAATACAGGTATTGTTCTTGTTGAAATATATTTTTGCTTTGAATAATTTCAACTCTCTAAAATACTAGTATGCCAAAGCAAACATTTCTGTGGCTTGTATAGCCACTAAATTGCTGGTTTACAAACTTTGGATGAGAGAGCGTTTTCCAGACAGGGTATCTAGAATTATGGAAGATTCTCCCCTGTCATAAGGAAGCTCTCTAGTCTACACTACCCCTTGCTAGTGATACCAGGAGTGTCCCATAGTAGAAGGTATTATTCTACCTCATAAATATCTAATTATTCCAGGTGACTGAGTCTTTGGCATTTGCAATTACTTCCAGAAAAAGAGTGGAGGGAAGAAAAAGATGAATAGAAAAAAGACAAAGGAAGTAAGCATGTTCATTTATGGATGAAGTATGAATTATGTAGTTTTCTATTTCTCGTTCATATCATCTCCATCACTTTGTAACATCATAGCCCAGTGAGGTAAATGATGTTCCCTAGTATTACATTTGTCTCACAGCTTTTCTACTTTTCCAAACCTTGGTTTTCCCATCAGTCAAAACAAGAGATACTTTATAATAATACTTTTGTGGGTTTGAAGAATAGAGGGTTAGAATTCTAGACCTTGAAATAAGACAGATAGGCTTATTTGTTAATGGTCACTTCCTATATATGTGATTGAAACAATTTGTTGATTTTCATATTGCTTCAGTTTCCAGAGTCAAAATAGTTTTCTCAGAGTTCTGAAGGAGGTGTCAGTGAGAAGCTTTAGACACCGTGCCTGGAGAATATTCACTTAAGACAAGATTTTGTGCTAAGGACAAGGATAATGGTGATGGTGGTGCTGTTGACTGAGTTGATAGTGGCGCCACTAATACTTTGGTGGTGATTATGTTGGTAATGATGGTAGTCATGCTGTGAGGATGGAGACTGATTGCTAACGATGATGGCGAGTTGTATGATTCACCTTTTACCACTGTGAAGAAACATTTGAGCAATCTTATACGGGGAAGTGTTTATTTCTTGCTGATAGCTTTGGAGATTTCAGTCCATGGCAACTTGACTACTGAGCTTCAGGAACTCGGGTTATGAAGTCAAATATCATGTCGAGGACATGTGATGTCTCAGAGCTGCTTACATCATAGCAGACAGGAACCAGAGAGAAACAGCAGAGGGAATTAGGGATAAGATATAGATTCTTTAAAGTCATGACTTAGCTTTTACTTCCTTAAATCAGGACTTGCCTCTAAAGTTTCTACTACCTCCCAAGAGTCTAGTAAGATTTAAAATTATCAACATATAGTTCGTTGTTTATATCAGATCCTTCCTGACCAAATCAAGCTCTAAAACACCATCAGTTCCTAAGCAAGACTTAAACCTATGAACTTTTCCTGGTGGCTTCTCTGGTTCTGCTGGTGTTGTGAGGAAGGTAATCACAGTCATGAAGAAAAGATAGTCCAATCTTTCTCCTTCCCAAAGCAGAAAATGGAAGACCTCTTACAAGACCTCATATGAATAACTCTGGTTGGGCCTGATGTCTCATTAACATTAAGAATGAGGCTAACATTTGAGGGGCCCCACAGGATCTCCCAATTCATGGTGCACTCAATCTACCCTCTCCTTTGGCTCTCACTGCCAGTCTCCTTTCTTGGTTTCCCTAGCACACAGAGGGGCCCTGTGGCAAACAGGTAGGGTATACAGCCTTGAGTAGCAGTGGAAAATCCAAATACTTGGAAAGATAAATAGGCTTATGCGGATAGCACAAAAGTCCCTTTTCTGAACTCACGTCAAATAAACCTCAACTGACAGAACCTTGTGCAACCACACCAACATAATCTTACAGAAGGATGAAATTAGATCTCAAATAAGGAGGGCAGCATGGTTATCAAGTCCCTGGTGGATCCTAACATGGCTGTTTTCTTTTTCTTGAACCTTTACTAAATACTCTCCAATGTCCCTGGGTTTTGGTTGTGAAGAAACTCTTGAACTCAAAGAAGAAAGTCTTGTTCAAGTTCCTCTGAGAAGTAAAGCAGGTGGGCTTGTCCACTTTGGCCCCATGACTGGGCCACCGAGGGGGAAATGAATGTGGAGCATACTGACATCGCTTCATATGTTCTTCAGTTGAGTTCTATTGTTGAGCTATAGTTGAGCTCTGAAGAATAAAGGAATATCTGAAAACTGGACTCACTCTCGAGAAGCTTAAGTGCTTTGTCCAGGAAGCCATTTTTACTGTATGTTCATCTCAATGTGTCATAGCAAGTTTATTGCTTTTTCAGAACACATTTCACATAAAATTTCCAGCAGTTCAGTTTTACTCATACACACTTTTATTTCAAATCCCATGGTGGCCCTGGTGTTGCAGCAGAGATCTGTAATGCCAACACTTGGAAAGTTGAGGCAGGAGTGTTTCAAGCCTGAGTCAGCCTGGGTTACACAGTAAAACCCTCTCTCAAAAAATGGGGGTGGGTAGGGCAAAATCCCATGACATCACTTATCAACAGAGGCGAGATAGTGGATACATCTCATTTTTTGTACAAAATATTAATTTTAACTCAGATTATGCCAACTAGACACTGTGATGGACATCACTAATACTCTGAGACTCGAGAAGTAAGGAAGACAAGTGGATAAATTATTGTTCACTGGAAAAAAATGATCTCTACTATGAGATGGACCCATCCCTTCATTAAAAACAAAATGAAACAAAGCTATTTATTTATTTATTTATTTTCAAATGTATGAGGGCTGGACATTGTCCCAAGAAAGGATATCCAATTTGTGAACCTGAAGTGTTGGAGAAGTTACCTTACTTAATCTTAGACTGGGGTCATGTGACTTCCTCTGTTAGAAGTGTGCCAAGAAACTAATTATAGTTTGGTTCTCACGTAAGTCTGCCCTCAGGGAGAAAATAGGATGGTCACATGCATTTCCCACTTTCTGGCCCATGTGACTGTTCATTTCTTCATTAAACTAATCAACTGGCACTCATCCAAGAAAGCAATCCCTGCCCATACATATAACTGCCATACTTTCATGGCCGGTCCAAGTCATAGCCACCTTTAGCGCCATAAACAAGCATATATTTCATTTTCTTAAAGAAACAGTTGTAATGTAGCATGAAAAGAGGGGCTTCTATGAGAAATTTTAAAACAGGGCATTTAGGATATTTATGATTATTCCATTCTGGATACTATGTCACCTTTTTGGTTTTCTCTATCTTTCATTGTTCATCTATGTTATGAAATATTGTCACATTAGATTTTATGTAACAAGTTATCTTAAATAATTTCTGGAATAATCTGTGTCGTCAAATCCTGGATTCTAACACCTAACAGCTATGGAGTTTAGGAAGTTTATGCTACTATGGCACAAGATCAATGCCTACATCAGCTTAGTAGCAAGAAATAAGTAAGATAATACACATTGTAATTAATGCCAAGAATGCACTCAATATATTTTAAATGTTATTATCATCATTGCAATTATTAGTGCTAAAACAATTCACCATGTGTGTGTGTGCATTCACGTGTGTGTGTGTGTGTGTATGTGTGTGTGCGTGCATGCACGCGCACCCACATGTGAATCTTTGTGAGTGTGATATTGTTCTTCCTGATGTGGTTGTGAAAAGCACCATGGAGGAAATGAGATGTGGCAATATTTATAGCACAGGTAAAGATTCTTCGGATGCCAAAATGGGACAGGTATTCCGGTGAAGAGCCACCAGTTCTCTGTGAAACAAAACTGTGTGCAGCTTCAGGAAGGTGTCAGCAGAACATGATAGCAAGAAGGATCTTTGACTGCCTGAAGGTCCACTCCAGACGTTCCCTTATTCTAGAACTAGCCGAGTTGTTCTCAGGTAATTATATGATCTAGCAGCAGCATTGGAGGCATTGACTCTTCAGATACAAAATTACACTCATGTACTCAAATATTTGGATTTATTAGAACTCAAAACATAGTGGACAAATCTGTCGTTGTCTTCTTCCTCCTCCTCCTCCTTCTCCTCCTTCTCTTCTTCCTTCTCTTCCTCCTCTTCCTCCTCCTCCTCCTCCTCCTCTTCTTCTTCTTCTTGCTCCTCATCCTCCTCCTTCTCCTCCTCCTTCTTCTTTTCTTCCTTCCTTCCTTTTTTTTTTTTTTTTTTTTGGTTTTCGAGACAGGGTTTCTCTGTGTAGCCCTGGATGTTCTGGAACTCACTCTTAGACCAAGCTGGCCCTAACTCAGAAATCTGCCTGCCTCTGCCTCCCAAGTACTGGGATTAAGGGCGTGTGCCACCACTGCCCGGCCAAATGTGTCTTCTTAAGGAGAGACAGATCCTATAAATTCCAATAAAAAATGATCCTCAAGTTGTTATAGGAGAAAGCGCTTATACTGGGAGAAGCTTTATTCTTTATTTTTCTCTCTCTACTACAGCCACAAATGTACACACACACACAGAGACACACAGACACACAGACACACGCACAGATCCTTCTCCTCCTATCTTGTCACCAATGATCCAAAGGTCAAACAGGGGTTTTCTGAAAGGCTTTTCTGCTTGTGTTCCCTTCCCCACAAGTCTGCTTCTCCTTAACCCTTATTCCTGCCACAGCAATAAAGAACCATGATACATACGGTGAATACAAATATTATTTTAATCTTATGATTCCTGTTATTGCAAGTACCTGGGCAACTTCTTCATGTAAATACCAGGGTGAGGTCAGGATTTGGATAGTCTAAAAGAGGTGAGGTGGTTTAATGTGTTGCCAACAAAAAGTTGGTTCCCTCCCAATCCCAAACCTACCTGATCCCTTTCTCCATCTCTCTGCAGAGGATTGTCTGCACTGCTGGTCTCCAGTGGTATCCCCACCCTGCTCGGATCCACTGTGTAAAAGGCTGTGAGGTGAGTCACAAGAAGAGATGTCTCAGCTCAGAAGTACTTATGGTGTTGTTTTGATTTTGATGGTTATAATTTACTATACTTACTAAGTAGTGTACACATGCATTGATAGAGTTGTTAAGAATGAAGCAGAAATATCATTATATTCTACAGATGATAGAATCTGGATAGAAAGATCTGAAGATGTGCTTACTAAAAAAAGTGAGTATATAACAGTTCTGAGAGTCCAAGGCAAGCTTTTCTTTCTGCGAAGTCCATAGATAAATATTATTTGAACACAGGAAATATGAAGAAATGTGATTAATATGCAAACATGAGGATACGACTTGAGATCCAACACTCACACAAAACAAAACATCAGACAATGTGGTATATACTTTTAATCATAGCATCAGGGAGGTATATCCAGGAGTATCCTTGAAGCCAGCCAGCCTAATATAGTGAACTTGAGATTTAGTAAGAGACCCTGGCTCAAAAAGTAAATTAGAGAGGAATTGCAAAATATATGTGACATCAGTGTCAGGCTTGCAAGCACAAGCACATATATGCACAGTCCCTTGCAACAAGTGCATATATGTTTAAGGCAAATAAAAAAACAGGCACCATATTTATGTAACACAAATAATATAGCAGGTACTATAGCAGCAATTATAACATTGTTTAGCTTGTATAGTGCCACATGAGGTCATTTTTCTTTTAATTTCCATTTCCCTAATGGCCCTTGCTTCCAGGTGAATTCTGTCTGTCTCCATATCTTAGTCACTTACCAATCCTTCAGTACCAGAAGTAACCTGGACACTTTTAACTGAAGTTTTCTGTTTAACTAGAAGATCCTTCCTGACTCTCAAAATTGTTAATTTCCCTGTTCAGCCATTTCCTGGCCTTGGAATTATGGAGAGCTAGCTCTATCAGTGACAGTTTGGGAATGGGGTCAGCAGGCAAGTTCTTGGGATGCAGCTGTGTTCTTGAGGAAAGGCTTACATGGAAATCACAGCCATTTCTCTGTATCCATCTGGCCCTTCCTTGACATTCCTGAGATGATGCAACACAGTGTCACTAAACAAATGCATATAGAGAAACAGGTACTACCAGTCTTCTCAGATGGAGCTGAAAAAGAGTCTCACAACCACTCCCAAATGGCTATCAAAGCTTTATAGTCTCAGACTTCAGGTAAAGGACCTTGATACTGTCCTAGAAAAATCTGTTCACTGGAACTGTTCTTTAAATAAAGAGATCATCTAAACCAAATCATTCTTTAAAATATGGGAAAACAGACCCGGGCGATTGTTTCCAGGAGAATTTGGTGAAATTCCAAAACTGAAAATATTCCTAACATGACCTAGCTCTACCTGATTGCTACATGAACAGGAAAACTAGAGTCAGAGATCTATAGACTGATATATGTTTGGACAGCATGACAGCCACATCGTTGAACCTGAGCCTAGATACTTTGCTAGCCTGTTGGGTTTTTTTTCTTCCTTTCTCTCTGTCACCTGCTCACAGCCATTTCCTATAAGCGATCATATATGTATTTTTCAGGGTAGGCAGCATGGCAGCCTTCAAGAACTCCCATTCCTTCAGGCTTCATCCAGAATGGCAAAGTATAGCCATGGCCTTGCCACCATTGCTTCTTTTCGTGTCTCCGAATCAGTGCTGTGTTTGTGGGAAAGGCATCTTTAGTTACCTGAGCACTCATTATGCTGAGCTGGCAGTCTCACCTTTAAATGTGACAGCAGAATTTGATCCCACCTTTGACTCAGCGTTGAGCCAAAAGACCCTCTATCACTGCTGAGCACTGAACCCTGACAATGATGCTTATCACCCTTACCACTCATCTTCTTTTGTCTTTAGTTTAGAGCTAATACTCTGTGTCTTATTGAAGGATAAAATGATGCTCAGGAGAGAAATAAATGCTGGGTCCAGGAGTGAAATATTAAGCCCTAAGTGTCTAGAGAAAGTCAAGATACAAACAGGACCTCTGAGTATCATCTTTGTGCTCAAAACTGTGTCCAAGTCAATATTACACTAATTTATTCAAAGCCTCTTTGAGTTCATTATATGATCAGTCACTACTCAAAGTTCTGAATACACAGTTTCATGCAAGTTAAAATAGGAGCTATATCAGCTATGACACCTGTGATCTTTTGTCCCTCATATATTCACCCAACATACACCATTCTATTAACCATTTTGCTAAATATTTATTGATCATATATTTTGTGTGAGTTGCCAGACATTTTTGTAGAAAATTTGGGGTATGAAACCAGAAGACATATGTCTAATCTTTTGAAAACATACAGTGATAATAAAGAAGACAAAGATGAAAAATCTAAATTATGGACCAAACTATGTCTAAACTTAGTACAAGAGGTGTGGAAACAGAGCACTCAGGGCCACTAGAAAAAGCAGAATGGTGGGTGGAGATGAGTTTTGAGCTATATTCTGAAGGACGGATTTTTTTTTGTCTGAATGTATTATTACTCAAAGTACTAACTGGATGGAGAATAAATCTCTACACTGAAAGCTTTTTGATGTTGTTTCTTTTCTCTAAAAATTTTTCTCTGTTACCCCACCTAACTAACTCTTATTTATTATTGTGATCTCCATTTAAGTGTCATTTCCTCCAGGATATTTTCACTGAGCAACCTTAGACAAGTTCTAAAACTTTTCTATGATAATACCAAGTAACTATTTGATTAAAGACCCCCTTTTTCATAAAGTATACAATCTGGGTTGGTAGGGTACATGGATAGATGGAAGTGGATGGATGGATGGATATGTAGGTAGATGGATAGATCGATAGATGGGCGAATAGATGATTATGGCTACAGAAAAGGGTACCAAGGGAAGAGACCACATGCCGAAAATCAACTCCTGTTCCAATTCAGTTTTATTCATCATACAAATGGACTGTGATTTACCTTTACTAATCTGTACACAGATTATCTACCGAGGAATTCAGATGAAAAGGGGCTTATGCTTTGTTGTTGAATATGGATGTAACAATTTTTTGCCATGGAAGTTACATGGCGGAGCCATTCCTTAACTTGAAGCCCTGTGTGTGTGTGTGTGTGTGTGTGTGCGTGTGCTCATATATATGAGCTTACCACTATTCTTAGCTCTATCTTACTAAGATCTGTCTTACACTCTAAATGGGAAATAATGAAATACAAATTTAACATACAGAGTTGCAGGCACAAAGGCTGGATGAATGAGAATTTGGAGCACATATGCAAAAGCTAGTCATGCAACACAGATTAGATTCCTTGAGCTTACTAGTCTCAGAGCCAGTCACATTGGGAAGGAACCATGATCACAAGTGAATCAATGGCAGTGTGCTGGGATGAGCCAGTCTCAGACAAGCGATGACATGTTTCTTACACTATTAACTTTAATCAGGCTTCTAGATGATTAGGAGACAGAGATGAATTGAATACTGCTCATGTTTTTAGGGGCTTACAGCCTCTTACCATCACAAACCCTTAAACAGACACGTAATATACTGTGTTGATTATTGGAGTTGGGGAAACTCACACATGTTCATTTGTGTGTGTGTGTGTGTGTGTGTGTGTGTGTGTGCGTGCGCGTGTGTACGCACATTCATGTGCATGGTTGCCATCAAAGAGATTTTTAAAATTTCCCCACACCCTCAGAATTTAGATCAGCAAAGATATCTGTCCTTCTCTCATTTTTGGAGAAACACAAAATTTATAGAAGTCATTGAAGAAAATACATTATTGTAAACTAGAACATTATAGAATGGGTACAGGAATTGGGGAAATAGCTTTAGATAGTGATTTTTTTCCAGCATGAATTTGGCCAAGGTATTTTGTTACCCATACTCTGCAGATGTTGTCTTATCAAGTAGAGATAGTGATGGGGGGTCTCATTTGTTTCAGAAAAATGTGAAAGGAGATCTGCACAGGCTTAAGATCTTGAATAGATGTGTATTTTAGAGAGGCCAGTATTAATATGCGTGTTCTTGAGCCTAATCCCCAAGAATCCTTACTTTTAATGTTTGTAATTCTGATAGTTTACATCCAGATTTCTAATTCATTTGCATATAATTCATTAAAGAAATATACAGCCAGATTGCATTGTCTTAAAGTAAAATGCACCTTCTAATTTAGGAAGAAGGAAAGAAAGAAAGAAAGAAAGAAAGAAAGAAAGAAAGAAAGAAAGAAAGAAAGGAAGGAAGGAAGGAAGAAGGAAAGAAAGGAAGAAAGAGGAAGAAAAACTACACTCTGTGATTTAATTTTCGTACTACAGCAAACAAAATATATTTTTCAACATAGTCATATTCCAGCAGGGAAAAATATGGCACATAAAAATGTTTATAAATGGTAAAAAGAAAAATGAACCCAAGGGGATGTAGGGATTGAAAGCCAAGTTGGCTGATGATGGAGGTTTGTAAGAAGAAGAGAGGCTGCCAGACAACCATAGAAGCCTCAGTGAAATGCTGAGAACAGCTCCCTCTCATGCCAGGATAATAACGTAGCCTCATTTCCTCCCTGCTTCTCTTCCCTTTTACAGCCATTCATGGGAGACAATTACTGTGATGCCATCAACAACCGAGCCTTCTGCAACTATGATGGTGGGGACTGCTGCACCTCGACAGTAAAGACCAAAAAGGTATGCCAATGTTAACCTCCTCATGCCTGCCTTCTCCGTGGCTCTCCAGCCTGCTGACCAACATCTCTTCTACACGGTAGACAGCTTGTTGTGGCCATGTTCTTGTTCTGTCTTCAGGCTTATTATCACTCACGATTTTTTTTAATTGTTATTCCTTTAGTTAGTAGCAAAGTTGCTATCATGTAGTGAGTGCTAGCTGGTCTTTGCAGAGGTGGTCCTCAAAGCCTAGCATCAGATGTAGAAGCAGATAAATAAAAGACAACACACTTTAAGAGAAGATTGATCAGAGAAGACTGGTCACAGGAGGCTCTGTAGTATGAGTAGTAGCTATGTCACAACAGCAAGGAAAGGGACAAGGAGATGGTAAGGAAAGAATCATTTAAATCAAGTGATTAGCTTGTAAATTCTAGAAACAATATGTATTCTAAGTAATATATCCAAAGCAGAAAGTAAGAAAACACAGGACACTGGCAATTAGAATATCTATACCTTGTGAGCACACTATTATCTATTTTGGTTTTGTATGTGTAGAATAGGAGGTCTATGAAGGGCCTTGTCTGTGTATAAGAAGAGGGCTTGGAGTGTCCTTTTCTTCCCTTGGCATTAGGACACACACAAACACACAGTAGTCCAATTTTTTTTTGTACTAAAACAGGATCATTAGAGCAAGATGCTCATTAGCTACCCAAAAAAGTGGTCACTTCTGATAACTTCCTGAGAAGAGCTAAGACCAGAATATGGGGCTCCAGTTTTGAAAAGAATTAGCCACCTGAGTACCCGGAGATAAAAAGCATTCATATGACAAATGTATCCATGGAGGAAAAAAAATACTCCAGTGCTTGCAGCCATCTATAACATGAGACAGAAGGCCTTTCCACCTCAGAGATGATTTTCTCAAATATTTCATCATAAAAAAAACCCTGTAAACTGGGTCACTAGAAAAGAAAAGAATCTAAGTGACAGCTGAGGACTCAAAGATTATCCCACACAATCTCCCCATTTCATTACTAGGATGCTGAGGCCAGAAGGAGGGTGATTTGTGCCAGACATCAAAGGAAATGATGCAAGCTTTCTGGCTGCCAATGTAAGCCCTCGGCTATTCTAACAACCTTAAGATAGTTGGTTGCTTTAGGAAACATGCTCAGGCCTCACATTTCAGAGCCTGCTGAGCACATACTCAAATCAGAGCTGTTAATGGCTGACAAGCAAGAATGCTGCGATGCTCTAGAATTCAGTCAGTCCCAAGTGGGCAGTATTTTCACAAAATGTTTGACCTTTTGTGGTTTTGTACTATTAGTAAAAGATTGAAGATACATATTTTCTGATTAATATAGGAGAATAAAAGCAACTTCATGTTAATGATTCTTATGATTTTTGTTTTTAATAATGGGATAATATATACCTCACTCTTTGGGAAGTCCTGTAACTGCCCGAGCTGTCTCACGTTTGGGGGTCACTTTGTTTTTTTTGTTTTTGTTTTTGTTTTTGTTTTTGTTTTACATTTAGGCTCATGTTTATTCATTTAGATAAACTTGAGCTTTAGTCCTTTTTTATAATTTTTTTTTAAAATCGTAATTCATTCACATAGGGGTCATAAACACAGAAAGGCAGGATGTGGGGAAGGGAATGACACTGGAGTGTGGGTGTTCAGGGGGAATACAGATATCTTCAGAACCGGGTATCGGCTGGGTGAAGGTTCAGGGGATAAGTCACTATGACTCTGCCTATGACTCGCTTGACCTTATCTAAGTTGGTATTGTCTGCCAAGGCTACCTATTTACAAGGTCTATGCTGTCATACATGTATACTAAAACCAAGTCTTGAGTCTCAGTGGAAAAACATTGAAACAGATGGCTATAAGCTATTGTAAACAGGCAGCTTTTGTGGAAATCTACAAGCCTGAGTAGTCAGAGGTCAGTTTGTAATGGCCCGTTCTGCTGCTCCGGTCCGCGGGTCAGGGCCTAGCAAGAGAGAGAGTGGGGATGGAGACGCGAAGAATGAATACAAGACAGAGTCTGATCAAGTCTCTTCAAGTCTCGTTTATTGAAAGGAAATCCTGGGTATTTATATCTTTTACCACTTGCCTTGTCCTCGTGGACAAGCACAGTTGAAGGCACTACATCATGTGTCTTGTAGCGTGGATATCACATATGTCTAGCTAGCAGTGAAGAGACCACGTGCGCCTAACAGTGTGGAGACCACATGTGTCTAGCTGCTGGAGGCACTAAACAGCAAAACAAGATATGTGAGAAAAACAAGATATTTATCAGAGTATGTTCAGTTGTTGTGGGCTGTTGAAAACAAGTCTCTTGTCAGGGTATATGGCTCGAGATGGCTGCAAAGATGATAGCCACTTTTGGCTAGGTGTCAGCTCTCAACAAAGTCCAAAAAGGAAAGAACAGAAGAATATAATTAATCTCTTTCAGCCTGAAGAAAATCGTGATTACTTTTTGTTTTAAATATTTTTTCTTGTTTGACTGTCTCATATACTTCTATAAGAAATTCTACTCATTTTCCCCCCTCACTCCCCGTCTCCATTGAAACCCTTTCTGCTGAACAGGTTCATCTCCTACTTTCTAGTCTTCATTTTGTGTATAATTTCTTGCCTCAGCATAGGTGAGGGTTAATTACTGTAGCAAGGGCAACTTACTAATGGTTATACCACTGATGAAAATGATACTACCTTTTGTTTTTGTTTTTTGTTGTTGTTGTTGTTCTTTTATACATATTTTGTAAGTATAAAGTTATACACTTTATCTACGAATCAGTGCATTCTCAGTTTGGGATCTAACTTCTTTTTATTTGGTACAGGAGAATTTATACACATAAATGTCCTAACATTTCAGGTATATTTTTTGCTATGTTGGTGTTTGTTAGTCAACTGTGATGTACAGCATTTTTGCTAAGTAACCATTTATTTTAACTCTTGTTTTGAACTTTGGCATTACATTCATTTCTTTGTGCATGTAAGTACTTTCAGAGCTCCAATTGTTCCTTTACAAAATCATTTCTAGGACTGAAATGACTAGAATTGAAGGTGTAAGCATTTATAAGGTTCTTGATATCTGCTTATAGTGAATATAACCTATCATAATTCATATTTTAGCCCATCAGAGTAGTCTGGTTTTTCTTTTAAGTAATGTCGGGTATGGTTCTATTTTAAATAGAAGTTTCTTTAGAATTTCCATCCTGATTGAGCTCACAAGTTGGTCAAATAGTGTCCCTGATTAAAATAATTTTATATTATTATAATTTATAAACGAAAATATCATTTAACTATTTGGGAGCCTTCTTAAATGTATTTCTTTTTTTCCAAGAATGTGTTGTGGGAAGATGAAGTAGTGGGACTGAAGTTCACATGTAGACTCCAAGTTGTTCTAGTAATTTACTGTGTGTGGTGTGTGGTGTGTGGTGTGTGGTGTGTGGTGTGTGGTGTGTGGTGTGTGGTGTGTGGTGTGTGTGTGTCTGTGTGACAGAGAGAGAGAGAGAGAGAGAGAGAGAGAGAGAGAGAGAGAGAGAGAATGTCATCATTTGGTTCTCTGTTCCAGAATTGGGTGCATCTGCAATAATTTCACTCTGCAGGGTCCTATAGTCAGGGATTTTGGGATTTTTCCCATTCACATCTTCTACTTTCTGCTGCTCTATCCCTCTGGATCAAGCAGTATATTGCATGTGTTCCGACTTTCTTTTCCCAGTGACATGGCTGTTCCTTGAATATCTTCTCTGGACCAGACTGTTTACCCTCAGTAGGACTAGATAGATACAACTTTTATGTTTGTTAGACTTGTCTGTTAGAGAGCCTAATAAGAAGCAATGACATAGAAACAGCCCATCCAGTTGTCTTTGTGAACTATTCAGGACTTCTTTGGGGAGAAAGGTTCCCTGAGGATGTATATTTAGCTTTAGGAGGAGGAGTGTCCCAGTGAAGGTAAGTATGGATTGGGCCAGAATGGCAGGGCTCTATGACCTAGAGGATGGATTATAGAGGCTAGAGGACTTTCTCAGGGCATGTAGGGCATTGTCATAGTTACACAACCTGTGATTAACATGTTGCAAAGTGTAGATTCCAGAAAGAAGAGAGAAAGTATCTTATGCTAAAATGTCCTCCCTTTTAAATTGCCCAATGCACCTTTTAAATAAGATTTAAGCCTCAACTTCTTGAAACATCTTTCGGATACATTGAGCTACTATCTATAGTAGTCTGGTTTGAAGAGAATGATAGGCAACAAAACAAAACAAAACACAAATAAACAATGTAAGGATAGCAAACATATATGTAAATCACCTCATGTGCGAGACTCTCTCCTGGAATACCCTTTTGCTGATATTTGAGGATTCTATACAGATTACTATGTATTTCTTTCGTCTACACTGTCCTTCCCTCCTTCTCTGTATTTATTTTGTAGATATAAAATATTGAACCAAGACTCTTTTTTAGTCCCCATGTCAACACTGACAGGTCAATATTTTTACCTGTATAGAATAGTAAAACTAACTTGGACTCCAAATAATTATGAGTCTTGCCCAAGTTCATTTGACCAATGATTGGCAAAGTCCAAATTCAAGTCAACTTCTGTCTGACTCACAAGTCCTGCTCTTTCTTCTGCACAGGGCTGACTTTCAGAAGGCGAAAGTACCTGTGAATAGGGCCTTGTTCTCTGTGCACCTGGGCATGGCTCTCTCAGTTTAGGCTACAGACATTTTATGGTGTTCTAAGGCTGCCAGGGAACTTGGGTGGGGGACCCTCCCCATGGCACATGAAAGCAGCTATCCCAGAAGCAGCATGGCATAGGTAATCCCTGACATCCCAGGATGTCCAGTTTGGGGTTATTCTGTGTATACACAGGACAGGAGTTCTGTTTCTTTCTCCAGCTTCCCCAGTAAGAAACCTCTTATTAGAAAAGAGAGGCTGTCTTGATTTTGTGTTCCTGACCTTACCTGTTATGGATATTTCATTCTCACTCATACCCTTGGCCCCTATCATAGGAAATTCCCTTTCC